TGGAAACAGTTGAGATCCCCACCCTATAACCATATATACAATTGCTGAGTATAAAGAGATGAATCCACATATGCTTCCAGGATAACCTTGGGGACTGTCCCATCCTTGGAGATTTAACCCCTGGGTCATACCTTCGAAATGGTTAAGATCCCCACCCCAAAACTATATATACAAATGTTGGGCATAAAGAGACAAATTAATTGATCCTGGGGTCTGGCCACAACCATAGGGATCTAGATCCTGACTCACAGCTTGGAAACAGTTGAGATCCCCATCCCATAACCATACATTAAATTGCTGGGCATGAAAAATCTAATACAGACATACTACAAGAATTGGCATTGGGGTCTGGCATATGTTTTGCCATGATTGCTTAGAAATCCAGGTTAGCGATACAGGCCCTCTGGGCCTCTTGTTTTTATAAACGATCTTTAAGTGACGATTGGATTTCTGTCATTTTTCATTCTTTTTTAATGCCTGGCTAGTTTACACATATTTCCAAAACCAGAAATGGAACTTTTTTGTTTTGTTTTTTAAGCTCATTTTAAAAACAGCAAATTATATTAGTGATTTACCCTACTCCTTTTGGTCAAGTAGGCTAAGAGAGTAGGTCGAGACGATTTTCATTATTGAACCAGAGACGTATTATACGTCTCTGATTGAACCAATATGTTTTAACTTTTGGTATTACATGGTGAAAACAAACAGTTTATTTTTAATCACATAATTAAATTATATTCTCAAGATAACTAAAATTTAGTACTGCTAATAAGGAGTCTTATGCTTGTTTAGTTTACGTATGTTTTCAAAAACAGAAATGGAACTATTTTAGTTTTTGATATTTGAGATTTACCCTACCCCTTTTGGTACCTCCAAAACCTCACTTTCGGTCAGAGTTTTACCTTAGGTATTTGTACATGTAGTACAATAGGACATATTTGAACAAATTAAGGAGTCTTATAGACACTCATCCTTTGTATTATTTTGTCCATTCCTGACAGCAGAAGATTGATTGGTTTTACGTCCGCTTCACTACCAAGTCGTTCGGTTATCAAGCAGACGACACAGCATGAGGCCCAAAACACACCTTTATACTTGTGTCCAGGTATGACATCAAAGGGATGTGAGAGTCAGCAGGTGGGCAAGAGGGTACCCATCGTCGGAAACCCGTTTATCGACGTTAGTACAATCGAACGTGGGTTTCTGACGATGGGGCTTACCTGATGTTAGCATGTAAATTAAGTGTCTTCCATTATTCCAATTAACAACAGTGCCCCCGGGCTAATTGACGAGGAAATGAATAAAGATCAGTCTCAAGGAAAATATGCATAGATAAAGTGCACAAACACTGTCTTAGATTGTGTTGCATTATATGCAAACCACAATCAGTACAACTGCATCACCGGAGAGAAGAAAGCCTTATGCTAGAACGTATTTTGCACATTTTATATCCGATCAGGTGGATGTTATCTAAAACATGTATCTTATTTGAATCGTCTTAATTAACAGTCATCAATGTTTTCTACTTTCCAGTCATTTGTATATATCATCGTTATTGTTTTAGGGGAGAAGACGAATCTTATTAATTTAACTTGTGTCTTATCCCTTTTGTAGTTTTGCAAATAAAATATGTTTAAATCAATTAGATAAAAAAGAGAGCATTTGGTTCAACGATAAATTACTCTCTTTTGTGAGACTTGAACACGCTAATTCATCAGATGAGTGAAATAGACAGTTTCTTATTCTGCAAGATTCCTTAAATTGGTGTGTTAATTTATTATTTATTAGAAATGAAATATTTGTATTTGTTAACTTCCTGAATACACTCAATTGCGTAAAGAATAAAAATATGGACAGTAATAATTTTCCACGAGTTCATGTCTATTTTGGTAAAAAAAACAACACAGAACTTTTGTGTGTAGATACTTGTGAAGACCTCGAAAAATATTGCTAGAGACTGCAGCCACTAAGTAATAAGAGGCAACAACTTTGATTTTTCCTAGAAAAACTCGGAAACAAATAAACGTCTGAAACAAGTTCTAAAATCAAAGAGAAATCCATTTCCATAACTACTTTTTAATAGATTTCCTTTTCTTCAACAGTCCTTAATAATATAGTTAGAAAAATCAAAAACACTCCATGTTCTTAATGCGTCCTTTGATATAAGCTAAATTGGCTTGTCCAAGTCAACAGTATATTCCTGAATCTATGACACTTATAATCACGGAATTAGAATAGAATGTTATCTAAGTCCGTGTTATAATGTACTGTAACAAATTATTTAAAGTAAAGGTTTGGTATATCCAACATCTGAAGACTTGGATGTTTCATTCTCTGTTTAAAATTATAAGAGATATGTGATTTCCATGTCTGTCCTCTACATAGACATGTTTGCCTGGTGATCACTTCCTATACTGTAACTGACATCTTAACTTGGTCAACTTTATGAATAACATAATATGATAGGAAGTCGTGTTTTTCTGTAAGAGTTATTGCCCTTTGTTATCTCGTTGCAACAAAACTTGGTATTTCCTGCTATTATGACTCGTAGTCTCTTAAGTAGCATTGTTCCTTATTGAACATTTTCTCATGTATTTCTATACATTTTACTTTTTATACTAGAATCTATGTCTGGAATGTGGTGTACTTTGCCTTAACATGGTTCAGAATCACATACTATGATTCAGTCTCAAGTTGGGTGAACCTTGGTATTATTAACTATCAATGCCATATTTTTATATCCTCTATAGTGATATTTATATTATCGATTTTAGTCTGCACTAAACCCAACAGCACACACATGTTATACTCTGCTATGTTTTATGTCGATAAAATAACAAACACTTAAATTGTCGAAAATAAGCATTTATTCTAAATGCCAGAAATCGAACATATGTATACATCTTTGTGTTGATTTTTATAATAAAGTGTACACAGAACCAAAAACGATGCCGGGGGCTTGCTTCGAAATAAACGCCATTTGTATTTAAAAGATGTACAACAAATGAACCAAAATTTAAAACGAAGATGTGCACACAATTACATTTTTACACATAGTACATAAAGGAGGATACAAATTAGGGGAGGAGGAGGGTAACTGATTTTTTGAAGGAGATTTTTCAAAATGTCAGCATGAAAAAAAACAAAACTGCACAGGTCACGTGACTTTAGTACACCAAAACATCACATGACTACTTCTATAGGGATGGACTAGTTTAAAAAACGGAAAGTTACCTCCATCCGGAAACAACAAAATATAACAAATGAAAATATCATATACTAACCAGATAATATAAATTAATTTATGCATTGCATAAACACAACTAAATTCTACAAATATTTACAATATATATGTGTATGGAAATATAATTGATACAAAAACTGGTCAAAGTTCCTGGCAATATTAATATTAATATAATATTATAACAAAAATAACAATAATAAGAGACTTTACTCATGAACGAGTTATTTCTTTTAATAAATACATCAAAGTCCTTTGTCATGTCAGCATGTCCCCCTTCTGCCTCTTATTCAAGTTCTCTTTCTCTTTGTTGATTATATTCTTCCTTTAATTCATCTATCTCTCAATCTTTTCTTTCTTAAAAACAGTACATATCACAAGTATATGTATCTACACTATTAACTACATAGAACATAAAATAAAAATATGTATCTTTGATATAGTGTTAGAATTTTTGCTAATGACTAGAAATGGAATGAGTGTGTGTATGTTGTATGGAAAAATGAATTGTAAATGTATTATGTATTGTTAAAAAATCTTCAAAAATAAAAGAAATACAAAAAAAACCCAAAAAACCCAAAAAACCATCTGAAGACGGGAGAAAAGACCCTTTTCTATATCTTACATTTGTGGGTATAGACCAGCTGTTATAGTACATCGTCTGTTTAATATGTAATGAAAACAATTTATTCTAGATATATTCATATTTCGATATAGACATTCATTGTTTTTCTTTTATTCCACCAATTCAGGTTTGAACCTTACTTTGGTCGATTCCATGGGGTGATGAATTGAGTTGGTCTTGAAACAAGTTTAATGAACTGTTGTTTTAACACAGGAAACAGGACTCCAATGGAATAGCCCCTCTGAAGAAATCGGATGGTCTGCTTTATAGCAGGCACACATACAAAATGTACTCAACAACCAATTTCAGTCTGTTCGCAATGGAGAAAACACCAGCAAATGACATAACAATCAATACCTGCTATCAAGAGTAGATAACTCTGCAATACGAAAAGACGGAATAAGACGGGACTACGTTGTTTTCGATTTGTACCGGGGGTTACCTACTAACACAAGAGGCAGAATAGGTAGCTGGAGGGAGAATTTCTAAGGCAGTACATGACTTGTCACTACCGCTAGCTACCGTGAGCTGATAATATTTTGCTGATTTATCGTTTTTGGTTGTTTGAAAAATTTCTTGTGTAACTTCAAAATAAAAGGTAAAATCTCATTGAGTGGTATCTTCTTTGTTTAGACATGTCAATAGTTATCTCCCTTCGCAAAATCATACGCACGGGCAATGTTAATCTGGTCTAATTAATCCGCAAACGAAACAGGTTATATTTGTTAGTTGCATTGAGTCCAACTTGAGTAGGAATCGAAATATTGAGTCATAAATGGACGAAATGGCAATAGTAGTAAAATGTCAAAACTAATTGTTTCTCGGGTAGATATATTCTGAATAATATCTTTCTATTCTGGGTTCCCAGACATGTCAGTTCAAAGGCGCCATTATTAGTTAAATGGTCTGTTTTGCACTGAAAACGGGAAATTGTAACGAATGGATCGCTGTTATTTAAATATGGATATATTGGTGTATTTTAGACAATCCGCTATTTCCTAAATGAACGTCAAATGGCAGATTTTGGCATTTCGACGGGATACTTCGATTCTTCGAAATTCTTAAAATCGAGCATACAGTTGAGCCTTGTTAATTCGAAGTCGACTGGATCGTGTTAAAACTTCCAAGTTATCCTAGTATTCGAATTAAGCGAGTTCCCATGTTTGGTATGTATATCATTGCTTGCTTTATTTTTCATTCATTAATTGTTGAATATTAAGTAATTCCTGATGAAATGAACTGATCCTCTTTAGTAATTCCTGATGAAATGAACTGATCCTATTTAGAAATTCCTGATGAAATGAACTGATCCTATTTAGTAATTCCTGATGAAATGAACTGATCTTATTTTAACTCTGAGTCCAGGAGAATCAAGTGAGTATGCGTAAAGATGACCTTGGCACGACCTTGCTATAAAGTCATAGAACACGGCTACACAAGAACTGTTAGACGAACACATGGCTGTACAAGCTACAAGTGTGACGTCAGACCGGAAGAAGACAACGTCCGTGTCCATCACACGATCGGACATGCGCGCTGTCCACATAGCAGAAGTTCCTAGAAAAAAGAATGGAAATTGTTGAGATATTTATCTTCACATAATCTATTTTAACATTTTGTGAAACTACATGCCAGCAGGATATACTAACACCCTGCTGATAATAACTATTGGTGAATATATCAAAGCTGATTTGTTGCAAATATTTCGCTAGATATTTGAGAAATCCTAATTCATAATACTGATTTTTGAAAAAAGAAATGTGAAAAAAATATACCTACCACGGGACGGTTGTACAGTCGATAAATCGGGCGAGTGTGTTGTCATTTCATAGGCTGTAGTAATTGTATCTGACGTCGAAGTTGTTGTTTCCGGTGTTGTAGTTGTCGTTTCCGGTGTTGTAGTTGTCGTTTCCGGGGTTGTAGTCGTCGTTTCTGCTGTTGTACATGTAGTTGTCGTTTCCGGTGTTGTAGTTGTCGTTTCTGGAGTTGTAGTTGTCGTTTCCGTTGTTGTTGTAGTTGATTCCGGTGATGTAGTGGTCGTTTCCGATGTTGTAGTTGTCGTTTCTGAAGTTGTTGTAGTTGATTCCGGTGTTGTAGTTGTCGTTTCCGGTGTTGTAGTTGTCGTTTCCGGGGTTGTAGTTGTTTCTGCTGAACAAGTCAGTTATTCATTGAAGATATTACTAAGAAATTGACGTCAAATGATAATATCCAATACCTTTTAAGACTATTTTAGAATATGCATATTACACATTTTACTGAACAACAACATCATCGCATCTTCTTCAAATTGTGCTCTTAACCCAATACACACAATAAAATATGGTCTGCTCTATGAAATACTACAAGAAATTAATAACTTATTACCAAATTATTGCTGAAAGCACACTTCATTTGGATAGTAAATTTATATTATGCCCGATATTTCCAAGTGCTGACTAAAACTCAATGAAACACCAGAGCTAACTCTTCAATTACTTACGCTTGCAGTTTTTGACGTAATAACCATAATTACTGTTTGACGCCATTGTTGTCAGACATGTATGACGCAAACAGCGATTGGTGATGGAATTGTGGGAAAAGGCTATGCACACGGCCTCGGCAAGGCAGGTGGAGCTACAGATCGGAAGTGACACGGCAGACATCATGGCACTATCGGTAGAACATGTTCCTCTCCCCGGCACAACAGGTGGGTCGAAGTCACATACAGCTGTGATGAAAATGAAAGCAATGGTAAGATATATATCATTTTTGTTCGTGTAGCGAAACATAGGCACATACAGTATAGCAGTTTGTTTCCGGGGATATCACATTTTTGCGATTTCGCGTGTCCATAACGTGATTGCAAAAATATGATCCGCAGAATGATATGACAAGCGTGAAAATGAGCTGCAATAATGAACTAAATATTTTCATATAATCAGTGGCGGACCCAGGAGTGTGGCCCTAGTTGCCCGGACAACACCCATTTTTCTGTGTCAAGAAATAATCTGAACCAAGTTTTTTGGAGATTTGCCTCTATTTCATATGGGATTTCCTTCTAATTTCAACCATCCCTTGAACTATGATTGTCTATGTCTTCCCCTTAATTTGCCAGCAGTATGAATATCCATATACATGTTTGCCTAAGGCTGTTGCCCAAACAATGAGTCCACTACTTACATTGTAGTGTAATGAAACTAAGGAAAACAAATAAAGACCTTATAGAATGTATCAACAAAGCGTGAAGCCAGACACGTATGTCACCAACAGTATAAAACAAAGCGTGAAACCAGACACGTATGTCACCAACAGTAAAAAACAAAGCGTGAAGCCAGACCCGTATGTCACCAACAGTATAAAACAAAGCGTGAAACCAGACACGTATGTCACCAACAGTATAAAACAAAGCGTGAAACCAGACACGAATGTCACCAACAGTATAAACAAAGCGTGAAGCCAGACCCGTATGTCACCAACAGTATAAAACAAAGCGTGAAGACAGACACGTATGTCACCAACAGTAAAAAACAAAGCGTGAAACCGTGGACGTATGTCAGCAACAGTATAAAACAAAGCGTGAAGCCAGACACGTATTTCACCAACAGTATAAAACAAAGCGTGAAGCCAGAGACGTATGTCACCAACAGTATAAAACAAATGTCACCAACAGTAAAAAACAAAGCGTGAAACCTGAGACGTATGTCACCAACAGTAAACAACAAATCGTGAAGCCAGACACGTATGTCACCAACGTTAACAGTATAAATCAAAGCGTGAAGCCAGAGACGTATGTCACCAACAGTATAAAACAAAGCGTGAAACCAGACACGTACGTCACCAACAGTATAAACAAAGCGTGGGGCCAGAGACGTATGTCACCAACAGTAAAAAACAAAGCGTGAAGCCAGACCCGTATGTCACCAACAGTATAAAACAAAGCGTGAAGACAGACACGTATGTCACCAACAGTATAAAACAAAGCGTGAAAACAGACACGTATGTCACCAACAGTATAAAACAAAGCGGGAAGCCAGCCACGTATGTCACCAACAGTATAAACAAAGCGTGAAGCCAGACCCGTATGTCACCAACAGTATAAAACAAAGCGTGAAACCAGAGACGTATGTCACCAACAGTAAACAACAAAGCGTGAAACCAGACACGTATGTCACCAACAGTAAAAAACAAAGCGTGAAACCAGAGACGTATGTCACCAACAGTAAACAACAAATCGTGAAACCAGACACGTATGTCACCAACGTTAACAGTATAAATCAAAGCGTGAAGCCAGAGACGTATGTCACCAACAGTATAAAACAAATGTCACCAACAGTAAAAAACAAAGCGTGAAGCCAGACACGTACGTCACCAACAGTATAAAACAAAGAGTGAAGCCAGACACGCATGTCACCAACAGTATAAAACAAGGGATAGCCAGACACGCATGTCACCAACAGTATAAAACAAAGAGTGAAGCCAGAGACGTATGTCACCAACAGTAAACAACAAATCGTGAAGCCAGACACGTATGTCACCAACAGTATAAACAAAGCGTGGGGCAAGAGACGTATTAGACACGTATGTCACCAACAGTATAAAACAAAGCGTGAAGCCAGACACGTATGTCACCAACAGGATAAACAAAGCGTGGGGCAAGAGACGTATTAGACACGTATGTCACCAACAGGATAAAACAAAGCGTGAAACCAGACACGTATCTCACCAACAGTATAAAACAGGGGGAAGCCAGACACGAATGTCACCAACAGAATAAAACAAATCGTGAAGCCAGAGACGTATGTCACCAACAGAATAAAACAAATCGTGAAGCCAGTCTCTTATGTCACCAACAGTATAAAAAAAGGCGTGAAGCCAGACACGTATGCCACCAACAGTATAAAACAAAGCGTGAAACCAGACACGTATGTCACCAACGTTAACAGTATAAATCAAAGCGTGAAGCCAGAGACGTATGTCACCAACAGTATAAAACAGGGGATAGCCAGACACGTATGTCACCAACAGTATAAAACAAAGCGTGAAGCCAGACACGTATGTCACCAACAGTATAAAACAAAGCGTGAAGCCAGACACGTATGTCACCAACAGTATAAAACAAAGCGTGAAGCCAGACACGTATGTCACCAACAGTATAAAACAAAGCGTGAAGCCAGACACGTATGTCACCAACAGTATAAAACAAAGCGTGAAGCCAGACACGTATGTCACCAACAGTATAAAACAAAGCGTGAAGCCAGACACGTATGTCACCAACAGTATAAAACAAAGCGTGAAGCCAGACACGTATGTCACCAACAGTATAAAACAAAGCGTGAAGCCAGACACGTATGTCACCAACAGTATAAAACAAAGCGTGAAGCCAGACACGTATGTCACCAACAGTATAAAACAAAGCGTGAAGCCAGACACGTATGTCACCAACAGTATAAAACAAAGCGTGAAGCCAGACACGTATGTCACCAACAGTATAAAACAAAGCGTGAAGCCAGACACGTATGTCACCAACAGTATAAAACAAAGCGTGAAGCCAGACACGTATGTCACCAACAGTATAAAACAAAGCGTGAAGCCAGACACGTATGTCACCAACAGTATAAAACAAAGCGTGAAGCCAGACACGTATGTCACCAACAGTATAAAACAAAGCGTGAAGCCAGACACGTATGTCACCAACAGTATAAAACAAAGCGTGAAGCCAGACACGTATGTCACCAACAGTATAAAACAAAGCGTGAAGCCAGACACGTATGTCACCAACAGTATAAAACAAAGCGTGAAGCCAGACACGTATGTCACCAACAGTATAAAACAAAGCGTGAAGCCAGACACGTATGTCACCAACAGTATAAAACAAAGCGTGAAGCCAGACACGTATGTCACCAACAGTATAAAACAAAGCGTGAAGCCAGACACGTATGTCACCAACAGTATAAAACAAAGCGTGAAGCCAGACACGTATGTCACCAACAGTATAAAACAAAGCGTGAAGCCAGACACGTATGTCACCAACAGTATAAAACAAAGCGTGAAGCCAGACACGTATGTCACCAACAGTATAAAACAAAGCGTGAAGCCAGACACGTATGTCACCAACAGTATAAAACAAAGCGTGAAGCCAGACACGTATGTCACCAACAGTATAAAACAAAGCGTGAAGCCAGACACGTATGTCACCAACAGTATAAAACAAAGCGTGAAGCCAGACACGTATGTCACCAACAGTATAAAACAAAGCGTGAAGCCAGACACGTATGTCACCAACAGTATAAAACAAAGCGTGAAGCCAGACACGTATGTCACCAACAGTATAAAACAAAGCGTGAAGCCAGACACGTATGTCACCAACAGTATAAAACAAAGCGTGAAGCCAGACACGTATGTCACCAACAGTATAAAACAAAGCGTGAAGCCAGACACGTATGTCACCAACAGTATAAAACAAAGCGTGAAGCCAGACACGTATGTCACCAACAGTATAAAACAAAGCGTGAAGCCAGACACGTATGTCACCAACAGTATAAAACAAAGCGTGAAGCCAGACACGTATGTCACCAACAGTATAAAACAAAGCGTGAAGCCAGACACGTATGTCACCAACAGTATAAAACAAAGCGTGAAGCCAGACACGTATGTCACCAACAGTATAAAACAAAGCGTGAAGCCAGACACGTATGTCACCAACAGTATAAAACAAAGCGTGAAGCCAGACACGTATGTCACCAACAGTATAAAACAAAGCGTGAAGCCAGACACGTATGTCACCAACAGTATAAAACAAAGCGTGAAGCCAGACACGTATGTCACCAACAGTATAAAACAAAGCGTGAAGCCAGACACGTATGTCACCAACAGTATAAAACAAAGCGTGAAGCCAGACACGTATGTCACCAACAGTATAAAACAAAGCGTGAAGCCAGACACGTATGTCACCAACAGTATAAAACAAAGCGTGAAGCCAGACACGTATGTCACCAACAGTATAAAACAAAGCGTGAAGCCAGACACGTATGTCACCAACAGTATAAAACAAAGCGTGAAGCCAGACACGTATGTCACCAACAGTATAAAACAAAGCGTGAAGCCAGACACGTATGTCACCAACAGTATAAAACAAAGCGTGAAGCCAGACACGTATGTCACCAACAGTATAAAACAAAGCGTGAAGCCAGACACGTATGTCACCAACAGTATAAAACAAAGCGTGAAGCCAGACACGTATGTCACCAACAGTATAAAACAAAGCGTGAAGCCAGACACGTATGTCACCAACAGTATAAAACAAAGCGTGAAGCCAGACACGTATGTCACCAACAGTATAAAACAAAGCGTGAAGCCAGACACGTATGTCACCAACAGTATAAAACAAAGCGTGAAGCCAGACACGTATGTCACCAACAGTATAAAACAAAGCGTGAAGCCAGACACGTATGTCACCAACAGTATAAAACAAAGCGTGAAGCCAGACACGTATGTCACCAACAGTATAAAACAAAGCGTGAAGCCAGACACGTATGTCACCAACAGTATAAAACAAAGCGTGAAGCCAGACACGTATGTCACCAACAGTATAAAACAAAGCGTGAAGCCAGACACGTATGTCACCAACAGTATAAAACAAAGCGTGAAGCCAGACACGTATGTCACCAACAGTATAAAACAAAGCGTGAAGCCAGACACGTATGTCACCAACAGTATAAAACAAAGCGT